CCCCTGCATGCTTCCCCGTTCTGCCTCCGTTTTCGGTCTCCCTGAGCCTGTGACTCTGCCTTCATGTTTTCGATCTCCTCTCCGCGCTGCCTCTGTGAGAGTCGGCTTTGCGCCCCGATCCCCCACCCTCGGAACCCGACAGTCGCCAGTGTTGGACGCTCGGGTCCCCAGCTGGATTCGTGGATACTTCCTAGACTCGATAAAAGACGCACAACCCTCCCTCTGCATCCTGCCTGCCCGTGGGCCTGGCCCCTATGATACCCCGGGAACTGAGGCTGGGCCAGGGAGAGCCAGCCTTCTGGGGAACTCAGCTCTTTAACACTTCTACCCCTCACCCCTGTCCCGGGCATTCGGCACTACTGGGCCCTGATTCGGCCACCTGCCCGCCGCCGGCCTGCTCCCCAGTGCTGAGCGATTCTGGGGCTGCCTGCCTTGGCGTGGCCAGGGGTTGGCCAGCATTTCCAGGCTTTCAGAGGCCCTCACCCGGCTGGAGGCCACCAGCTTGTGAGGAGGAATCCCGGAAAACAGCCTGCTGAGGTAGGATGGGGTGGGGAAGTAACTTGTCAACAAGGAACCCCTCACTCTTTGTTACTGTCCAAGCCGCCGGCCTCCGGAGACTCCCCCAGATGCTGGGGCTGCTTGGGCGTGGTTTGCATTGAGTTGGGGCCAGAAGAATGGGGACTGGAGTGTTTCCTTGGTGACCCCCACCCCTCTCCACCCACCCCTGCAAGCCAGCCCTCTCTCCTGGGCCTGTGTGCTGGAAGGGGGACAAGGGAGTAAGTGCTCTGCATTATTAGCCAGAGATGTGGCCTCATCATTTTAAAGTGAAATTTCAGACTGAGTTGAGCTCCCTCCTGCAACCCCGAGGGTCGCAGGCTGCTGGGGCGGGCAGGGTTGTGGGTGAGGTCTGCAGGGGACTTCTGCTGAGCAGATGTGCAGGGCCCTGCAACAGCCCATGAGCATGGATTTGTTTTGGAGACTGTTTTGGGTCTGTGGGAGGAGGGTCTGCAGAGGACAGCCAGGGCTTGGTTGGGGATGGCGTGGAGGTAGCCAGGGCTGGAGGGTGGAGCCTCCTGGCAGAGGTGGGCAGGCCTCGGGGGTAAGAGGTTGGGCCTGTGTGCCTGCTTGGTGGACAGTTGGCTCGTGCCGGGCTGGCCCAGAGCCTCCCAGGCTCGGAAGGAAGGGAGGGAGGAAGGGAAGGAAGGGAGGGAGGAAGGAAGGAAGGGAGGGAGGAAGGAAGGAAGCCCCCAAGGTGAGACTGGGCCGCGGAAGCTCTGTGCCCTAGAGCAGCACTGGGGCGGGACTCCTCTGGAGGGAACCTGCTCTCTTAGACGTTCCGGGACCACTCCCTCCGCCATTCTGCAGGTGGGAAGCGGGGAAGCGCAGGGAGGTGAATCGGATGGTCAGGGACTTGGTCTGTAACCACTGGATTGTCCTGCCCCCAGGACCAGAGATCCCGTCGATGAACCTCGGCAAAAACTCTTCCTAGGACCCCACAGGGCCCAGGAAACCCTGCCGGGCCGACCAGGTCAGGGGCCTGTCACTGCCTTGTTCCCACCCAGAGCGATATTTTTCCGTTGCACCGTTGAAGGAAGTCCCTGTACTCACTCCAAGACCTGGAGGGCTGCCCCACCCTGCTGATCCCCAAGCCTAGGGCTGCGGCCACAAGTGCCACACCCGCTGCGCCAGCTGTGGGTGCAGCCCGGGGTCTGGGGCAGAGCCTGCTTTCTGAAGTTGGAGCTGGAGGGGGCTGTGCTCTCAGGGACCCTGTCCGTCAGTGGCCCGGAAGGGGTGGATACACACAGGCCAGCAGGTGAGGGTGGTACTCACCAGCTATAAAACCCTTGTATGGAGTTCCACCTGGAGGTGTCTCCTAAATCCCGTTTCACTGGGACAGATGCAGCCCCAGATTGAGAAATTCTCAGGATGAGTCCAGGATCTGCAGGGAGAGGCAGAGGGCGCGGGGGTGGGGGAAGAGGCCCAGGGCAACACCAAGCCAGGGCTCACAGTGCCTCTCTGGAGTTTACAGAAGGCTTCAGGTGGCTAAGATTTGGACCAGGACCTGTGGTGTGTTTGTGGGGGCTGGTGGGAGGAGGAAAAGAGGCAGAGGTAGGGTTGGGGGTCGAACAAGAGGCCACAATCCCATGTTGAGGTGTGGGATCCCCTGGAACCCAGAGGCTGAGCCCATCAAGTGTCCACGGAGTCAGATGGGGCAGATGTGGGAAGAGATCCCACAGGAGGTTAGAGGCTGGGGCTGGTGCTGGGGAGGGAGAAACGGTGATTTGCTGGCCTGGGCACCCGCATTCCTGACAAGCACCTCTGAGAAGCTGCTAGGTTCTGATAGGTGTGGAGTGGCCCCAGAAGCCTGTTCCCAAAGTCTGCGGCCTGTGTCCTTGCTGTGCCACTTCCCTGGCCTCCCTGAGGCACTTTCTGAACAAAAATGCCCCTGGGAAGCCCTCGAGGCTCATGGGCTGTCTGCTCACTGCCCTCTTCCCCCAGCAGGAGGCATCGGCTGGTTACTTTCCTTACTGGTGCCTCAGTTTCCACGGTGCTAAAAATGGGTCACTGGCGTCATCCCTCGGGGGCTTTCTTGCTGTGTGAAAGATCAGTGTCAGGAGGCCTTTGAGGACTTGAGGTGGACCTGGGAGTGAGTGTGTGGGTGAGTGTGACAAGTAAGGCAGCCACTTAGACTCCAGCCAGGGTCTGCAGCCACCACATGCCCGTCTGTTGGGGGCCGGGAGTAGGAGTCGGTCTCTGACTGGGGGGCACCCCGGTCCCAGCCTGAACAGCAGGGAGCTAAGAGGAGCAAGAGGGCAGTGCGGGAGCCCAGGCCTCTCCCTGCCCCAGATTCCACGCATCCATTCTCCGCGTGTGACTCTTCCTCTCTTTTTGGCTACTTTCTCTTCTGTGACGCTGTCACGAGCAAGTGTAACTGCTGGTGCACCTGCTACCATCCAGTGTTAAATCTCAGTCCTCCCGCTGAGTCATTGGGTAAACTTCTGCAGGTCTCAGCCTCTCGGGCCTCCATTTCCTCATCTGTACACCGGGGATCTGTCCCACAGGGTTATTGTAAGGACAGGGATGATTAACACCGGGAGAAACGCTCAGGACAGCAACAGAACCATGCAGTTAGGACCAGCTCTTCCTCCTGCTGGGAGGCCGGGGAGGCTGTGCAGGCTGGGCTGGCAGCTGCGGTCCTTCCTGGGGCCTTTCTCAAGCGGGGGTTCTCAGCCTGGCACCCTCTTCCTCAACCACCACCAGGGACTCCTGCAACCCTGTACTCAACTCAGAGGGAAGGCCCTCTGCGTATCCATCTCTGGCTGTCCCTGCTCAAAACAACTGCTTCCCTGTACCCGTCCCCCTCGACCTCGCCACCGGGCTCTGGGATCCTAAGTCCGAGGGTACAGAGCCGCGGCCCCAGGCCCCCTGCCGTTTCTGAGGGGGCTGCTCTCCTACCCTTCTAAAGGCCACCCAAGGGGGCATCCACCTGCAGGGGACAGAGTGGCCCAGGGCAGGGCAGGGCTCTGCCTGACCTACTGGGGGGCCTTGTGAGGTCTCTGCCTGAGGAGAGCCTGGGGTGTAGATCCCTGACTCCCCTTCCCGCGCTGGGAGTCCCATGGCTCCCTGTGTGACCTTCAGGGCGGGGAGGAAGGGCTGAGAATCTGGGCGAGGCTCTCTGGGCTCAGGAAGGAAGGTCTGACTGCTGTTTAAAAAAAAACAAAAGCATACACCACCACCAAGAAATAGAACCTGCTAGCAAAGATCCTACTCACTGGTGGGGGCAGTGTGGGTCCTTCCGGGCTGGGCAGGGCAGGTGAGGAGGCCACGTGCGTGGGGGCTCCCACGCCCTTGCTGCCGGGGCTGCAGCTGGACTTTCCTGAGCGCCCCCTGCGGGAGTGGGCTGGCCTGGGTGGGGGGATCCCAGGTGCTGGGTCCTTCTCCGACAGGTGCTGTGCTTTGGGTGGAGGAAGGAAGGTCGGTTCTGACAGGGACCCTGATGGCAGGCAGTCCACTGGGCACTGGAGAGGGAGAAAGATAGACTCCTGCCTCAGTTTACCTCACTTCTCTCGAGCTTCTTCCAAACTTCACTCTACTAACGAGTGCCCCTCTCCTGGCTACTCTCATTCCAGCCCCAGCCTCAATCTCAGATCCTACAGCGACCTTGGCATCATTCCCCGCTCTTGTCACCGTCACCTCCCTGGCCCCAGCTGACCTGTCCCTCCGGGGAGGGGGTGGCGTTGGGTACAGACCTCTCTGAGGAGGGCAGAGGGCCTGTCAGCAGCCTCCTGGCTGCCCCCCTTGTTAGAGAGCGGTCACACTGCCAGTCAGGAGCCAGTCCATTCTGTCTGGAAGCTGGGATGCGGTTGTGCTGAAGTCACGGGCTGTGCCGTGGGTCTTGAGTGAGACCAGAAATGTGTGGGTGTGAGCCTGGGTTATGGCAGAAGCGCCTTTGGGGTGGGGCCAGGACATCTGACCTCCCTCCAGCTCTCCCCTTCCTGCCGGCCCGGGGACAGGGTCATCTCCAGGGAGCCGAGGCCTCTGCAGGGAGAGGGCCGGGGCCGGAGCCGAGGGGACCTCAGGATGGTGTCTCTCTGCCCTGCCGGCGGCTGGGCACTCCCTGAAGCCCGGCTCAGCTAGCCCACCCAGGTCTCCCCTGCCAGAGCACGCCAGACGCCCAGCCGCTGTCCCTCCCTGGACAGTCTACGGAGTCCCTGGAAACCACCACCGCCTGCTTTCCGCAGGAGGTGGTCCAGGCAGGGCTGTTCTTCATGGGCTCCTTGGACCTAGGCCCCCCGGTGCTGGGTTTCGGGGGGACTCGTGGGACCTGCCCTCGACCCCTCCTCGGACCATCCTGAGACCCAGAGTCCCACACTGTCAGCCGAAATGGTTCTCATGGCCCTGTCAGAGCCACTTTGGGAAGCTTGGTAAAAATGCTGAAAATCTCAGCACTCGGGGAGGCTGAGGCAAGAAGATTGAATGTTAAAATCTAGCCTGGGAAATTTAGAAAGACCCTGTTTTAAAAGACAGAAAACAGAACTAAAAACAAACACCCCAGGTGGAGGGTGGGGATGTAGCTCAGTGCAAAGGCCCTGGGCTCAGTGCAGAGGTCCCCGGTATCACCGCAAGTCCCCAGGGAATTCTGGAGCAGTGTTCAGGTCACCTCACTCCTCACAGGTGGGGACAGAGGCCTGAGTTTCCAGGGTCACACAACAGACATGTCCAGTACCCTTTCCCCTGTGTTCCGACCACAGGGTCGGGGATCCCCCTTCAAGCACTTCTCTTATTTCTGAGTCTCTCTGAAGCCTCTTTCACTCTCTTTTGAGGTGGCAAAGTGGGTGAAATCCACGAAGGGGAAGGGAGCGCTCGCGGCGTCTGAGCGCAGCCTTTAGACACAGACTGTCCTGCAGCGCCATCTCCTGTCAGATTCTGGTATTTTCGAGCCGTGCTTTTCCATCGCGGGGGAATTGGCCCCCGGGTCCGGTGCTTCGTCTTCTGCTGACCCAGGCGTTAGATGGGGCTGAGGGTAAAGTTGTGCGTAGACCCAAGTGGGCTTGAGGCTCTGGTGGAGCGTCTGCTCGGGATGGCAGAATTCACCACAAGGTGAAGTTTGAGTTTAGCTTCCACGGCATCACTGGCAGGGCTTTGGTGGCTTTGGTGGCTTTGAGGGAGAGCCGGTGAGGGGCCAGCCCTCAAGCGTTGCTCGGACAGTTGTTTACCCCTGGAGGACCCACAGCATTGAGGCCAGAAGGGAGCCAGCGACTGCTCAACTCTTCACAAGTGCTTGGACACTTAGTGCCTCACGGGGCATTGAAGGACCCTCTGCCGCGCAGAGCAAAGGCGCAGCGTTAAACAGCGACTTGCGCCTGGCTACGCAGTGAGCCACCAAAGTGACCGACAGCTGGTGCGGTGGCGGGTGCACACCTGTAATCTCAGCACGCTGGGAGGCTGAGGCAGGAGGATCCCACATGGAAGTCCAGCCTGGGCAACTTTGTAAGACCTGTCTCAACATTTAAAAAAGGACCGGGGATGGAGCTCAGCGCAGAGGCCCTGGATTCCATCTCCAGCGCTTGAAAACAAAGCAAAACCGGCTAGGGATGTGGAATGTGGGAGGCTCCGGGTTCAATCCCCAAAACAAAGCAAACAGAGAGACACCACAGAAGTGTAAGCTGCCGGGAGTGGGAGTGTGCCTGTTCTTCGGGGCTCACTTGGCACCTGGCTTAATCTTTCTGTACCCATGGACGCCGTGCAGTGTACAGCCACGTATGTGTTTAAACCTGTGCCGAGGATCGAGCCTGGGGTTGTATGTGTGCCAGGCAAGTGCTTTCTCACTAAGCCACACCCCAACCCCAACATGTTCAAGGCTGGGAGAGGAGGAGATACCTTGTCCCAAGTTGTCCTTGGTTGGTGGGCGGAGAGGTGGATTGGAGCGCAGGGGTCAGCCCCCATGGTCCGCACTTCTGACCTCCCCGGGCCCTCAGCCCGGATCGCCGGCCCTGCTGTGCCTCATGTGCCCCTGTGCTCAGTTCCAGGGCTCTGGAGGCCACAGGCATGATGCTCCGGGTCCTGGTGGGGGCCGTCCTCCCTGCCATGCTGCTGGCCGCGCCCCCACCCATCAACAAGCTGGCGCTGTTCCCAGACAAGAGTGCCTGGTGTGAGGCCAAGAACATCACTCAGATCGTGGGCCACAGCGGCTGTGAGGCCAAGTCGATCCAGAACAGGTGGGTGGAGGGATGGCGTGTGGGGCCCCCGGGGCTGCCCGCCCTGCTCCCTGGTGACGGCGCGGTGACCTCTCCTCCCGCAGGGCGTGCCTGGGACAGTGTTTCAGCTACAGCGTCCCCAACACCTTCCCTCAGTCCACAGAGTCCTTGGTGCACTGTGACTCCTGCATGCCGGCCCAGACCATGTGGGAGATCGTGAGTACGGTGCCCCTACCCTGCCCTGGCCCCAGTGCCATGCAGGTGTCCGCGGGGACTCAGTCAGGTCTCTCCATGCGCAGGGTGCGGGGCTTGTGCTGGAGGGACACATGGGGTCCTTGGCATAGGATGGGTCGCAAGTCGGACCCTGATTAGTGCGGGACAAGGATCTTTTGGAAGCTCTTTTCGGATGTCCCTCGTGAACTGAAATTCTTTCAGTGGCTTCTCAACACCTCCGCCATGCGCAAGGGTCCTAGGGGTCCAGCTCACTAGCTTTCCTTTTAGTCCTTCCCATCTGCTCAGCTCCCTTCCACCCCAGGGCCTTTGCACATATTCTTTCCCCTGCTTGCAACCCCCTTCCCATTCATTCATTTGCTCTCGGCTCAAGCATCATTTCCCTTTCCTGTCTGGGTCAGATGCCTGTGCTGTTGGCTCTTAGCACACTGTGGGCCTCTGTTTGCTCATCTGTCACATCTGCAGCCTTCCAAGCCCCTCTGGGTGATTGTGGCCAGCTGGCTTCTCTGAGAGATCACGTCTGTCCTTGTGTCCCCATGGCTGGCATGGAGTAGGTGCTCTGTGTAAGGAATGAGGGAGAGAAAAATGAGGCAGTTAGAAGTGTGACCACAGGGAAAGGCAGGGTGCTAATGGGGTTGTCCTTGGCTGGGCTGGTGGCTTGGGAGGGGCTCCTTTGCAGAAGGAATATCCAAGTTAAGAGTCAGAGGCTGCCCAGAAGTGAACTCGGCAGAGTTTGGGGCAAGAGGTATGGGGATGTATTGGAGAGAACCTTCCAAGAAGAGGAAACAGCATGTGCAAAGTCCCTGAGGCAGATCAGGAGCAAAGAGTTGGGGGAGTGGCATTAGGTGAGGGTGGAGTCAGCTGTGGCTAGCCTGAAGGTGCTGGGTGGCCAAGGGGTCAGCCTTTGTATCCAAGGGCAGGGCTGGGGGAGGGCTAAGCAGGGGCGAGTGACACTGCACCCCCCGGGGTGCCCTGTGGCCGCTGTGGGAGTGTGTGTGTGTGAAGGGCAGTCCTGCGTGTGAGGAGCCAGTCGGGCGGGTCCTTCAGGGGCTCGGTCCGTCCAGCCCTCAGGAGCCCCCAGAGCTAAGCAGGCGACCACACGTGTTACTGTTGGGGCCTCCCCACCATCCCCAAGCCCAAGGATAATCAATCTTTGTCTTCCTCCTGCCCTCCCCAGGTGACCTTGGAGTGCCCCGGCCATGAGGTGATGCCCAGGGTGGACAAGCTGGTGGAGAAGATCTTGCACTGCAGCTGCCAGGCCTGCGGCAAGGAGCCCAGCCACGAGGGGCTGAATGTCTACGTGCAGGCCGAGGAGGGGCTGGGCTCCCCGCCAGGCGCCCACCCCCACCCCCACCCTGGTGGGCAGAGCCCCGAGCCCCAGGAGACTCCAGGGGCCCCCCACATTGAAGAAGAGGGGGCTGAGGACTGAGGCCCTCGCTCTTCCTCCCCTCGCGCCCTCTGGGGGGTGTTGGTGAGGGCAGAGGCGGAAGCTCCCGCACTGGATGAACTCGGATTCAGACTTGGACTTGGAATGCCATCTGGTTGCCATGGACACCTCAAGGGGAGGCGTCGGAGCCCAAGCCTCCCAATTTAATATATTGAAGAGTCGGGGTGGGGGAGGAAGTAGAAGTCTTCAGGGCTCCTTTTGGAAGCGGGGCGGTCTTTCCTTTCTGCCTTGTAGAGGTGTCTTGGGAGCGGGGAGGAAGTTGGCCGAGCCGCTGAGGAGAGTGAGGCCTTCCAAGATGGTGGGCGCAGACCAGGGCCCGCGCTGCCCCTGGTGGGGTAGGATCCTCAGGGCGGTGTGAGATGGGGCAGCCGGGGGCCCTGAGCTCGGTGAGGGTGGCACTGTGTCAGCAGGAAGACTAGGCGAGGAAGCCCGTTGGCAGAGTGGGACGCTGCAGTCCCCCAAGTCTCCCTGAAGGCCTCACCCGGACACCTCACCGTCAGGGAATCATCCGCCCTGGGCACAGAGTGTCCCCCCACCCCTTGGGGTGTTTTGGGAGTCAGGCCTGGCAGGACCCAGCTGACTCGGGGCACCAGAGCTGGGGCCAGGCTCTCTGGGCCTTGCTCTGGCTTCCTTGGCTGCCAGCGTTGGGGACGGTGTTGCAGGGCCTTCCTGGGCCCCCGGCAGGGAGCGACCCCAGATCATCACGAGTGCCCCTCCCGGTAGAGACTGCAGTGGCTCCAGGCCTCTCAGAGAGGGTGCCAGGGTGGCGGAGAGAGGTCTCCCTCACTGGAGGGTCTCAGCAGGACCTGAGTGGATGCTGGCTGAGCCTCTGGGAGCTTCAGGACAGGGTGGACCCTGTGGGTGACTTGTGGCCTCGGCTCTTGAGCTCCCCAATTCCGCCCCCCACCCAGCAGCACTTTAAGCCTAGAGGGATGTGGGACCCAGGCCAGGGTGGGCGGCAGGCGGTGAAGCTCCCTCTGCCCCCTGAACTGCCCACACCACTCTCGTGTGCCCAGGGTGATGCCAGCCCCCCACCCCTGCCAGGGGTATCCGGCCCCTCGGCTGTTCCCATGGACGAGAGCTTCCGTAGAGCTTGTAACCAGTAGGCTCCCCCCAAGGACCCCGAGATTTCTTATGAATTAAATGCCTTCAATGCCTGTGTCCTCTTCCCTCTTGCTGGGCTCTGCTGGCCTGGGGGTTTGGGAGGGGGCTGGGCCTGGGCCTGGGCTCCGTGGGGCTGAGCAGGGCCACTGGTGCCACCCTACAGGACCCCTGTGCTGTCCCACCCTGGCACAACACCCTCCTCCACTGTCTCCCTGGCTCCCACCTCTCCCGTGGGTGCCCCTGTTGGCCTTGTGTACATTGTGGGTGGGCCTCAGAGCTGGGCTTTGACCCACAGTCCCTTGGGCTTGCCTCTGTCCTGGTGGAAATGGATAAAACCCAAAGCCACCAGCCACAAATTAATATAAGGTTGGAGTCTGTGTTCAGGGTCATGCAGTCAGGAAATATCAACAGGACTCGAACTCTAGGCCCGTGAGTGCTTGAGGACATCAGCAATGCTAAATGCACAGTAGGTGGGACTTTCACATTTGTTCACAGAGTGGGAAACAGGCTCCGGAAGCACAGGTGACTCGAATAGGCTCACAGGGCCCCCCACATCACCTGGGGACACTTAAGTGATGCAGTCACAATGGCAACAATAAATGAGCCACCAGGGGTCCTTGGTGCTGGACTGTTGCAAGCCGGCGACGCAGAGCACTGTCCAGCAGTGTCTCAAACCTGAAAGAGCAGCGGGGTGGAGATAGGGCAGAGAGAAAGGAAGGACGCCAAGACAAGAGTCTGATCAAGAAGACGTTTATTGCAGGCAGGCATCAGCCTTTTAAAGGAAAAGACCGAACTATTATGGGCTAGGATTACCATAGTAACCTCAACTCCCGCTCCACGGGAACGAGGGTTCACATGGGAAAGAGAAGTCAGGCTCAAGAAAAACAAATTAACAACACTTGCAACTAATAATCATGATTCCCAAATAGGTGGAGGAACTTAACAAAATGGAGTTACAACACCTGACTCCTACAGATAACGTCAGATCTTTAACAGGAAGCACCTGACTCCTACAGATCTTTGGCTGTCCGAGTTTCTCCCGTGCAGGGTCAAAAACAAGTTTAACACGTGCAGTCCTTAAAAAGGAACAAATGTTAAGAAATGCTAATTAGGAACATCCTGACCACACATTGTGTCAATGCCTTGATTATAAGGAAAGAAGTTGTCTTTCAAAAAGCCAGTGGGCCATGGCTGGCTTCCCACACTGGACCTCTGACCCCCTGAGCTTGGTGGCAGGCCCCGAATGCCAGGCGGAGCTCCGTCTTTGCAGCAGCCGGCTGTCCACGTTTCAGCGAGATTTGAGATGGGTAGGAGGAAGGGCAGGGTGAGGCGAGCAGGGGTGGAGGCGGCAGGAGTTCCGCGCGAGTTCTGCAGCTGGGGGGGAGAGTCCGGGCCGCGGGCAGGAGGCGTGGCCACGCGGGAGAGGCGCCGCTGATTGGGTGTGGGAGTTCGTGAGGGGGAGGAGCCACACTTGAGGACTGCGTATTTGACAGATATTTCTAGTTGAGGGTGTGTGTGTGTGTGTGTGTGTGTGTGTGTGAGACTTGATTTTTCTCTTCACCCGAGGGTGTGTGTGTGTGTGTGAGACTTGATTTTTCTCTTCACCCGAGGGTGTGTGTGTGTGTGTGAGACTTGATTTTTCTCTTCACCCGAGGGTGTGTGTGTGTGTGTGAGACTTGATTTTTCTCTTCACCCGAGGGTGTGTGTGTGTGTGTGAGACTTGATTTTTCTCTTCACCCGAGGGTGTGTGTGTGTGTGTGAGACTTGATTTTTCTCTTCACCCGACTGCCTATTTGACAGGTATTTCCAGTTGAGAGAGGGTGTGTGTGTGTGTGTGTGTGTGTGTGTGTGTGTGTTTCTGTTTCTGTGTGTAACTTGATTTTTCTCTTCACCAAGGTCAGACTGAGCCACCACGACAGCCCAGGAATAAGACTGCAGCCTGTCTGCCCCTCTCTGCAAGATGGAGGCGCCTAGAATCCTTAGGAGGACTAGTAACCAACCACACCAGCGCTCAGGAGGCAGGGCCCTCTCTGGATGGCTGGGTCATTCCTGCCGACCTCCTCACCTTGTTTGCCTGTATGGAGCCACCAACCAACCGGTTTTCCTCTGCTCCAAGCTTTTGGAGAAGTCTGCCCAGGTTCAAATCTCAGCTGGGCCCTTCCTAGCCGTAATTATGAGCAGGTCCCATAAAGCTCAGGACTCCTGACGGTACCTACTGGTGACACCGGCCTCCCTCCCAGAGTTATGGGGAGGATTCCATGAGTTACTGCACAGAGGGTGTTGAGACAGTGCCTGGCACCTGGTGGGACCTCAATAAATGTCAGCTGCTGTTATTAGTGCGCCACTGAAGAGGTGTTTTCTGAGACTGAGTTGACTCATGCTACCAGACACCTCCAAAGAAGCCCGCTGTGGCTAGAAGTAACCAAGCAAAGGCTGGCCAGCATTCTGATTTGGAAGCACTGAGGACTGAACTCAGGGAGCATTGTGATACATCGTCAGTCCTTTTTATTGTTTTTATTTTGAGACAGGGTCTTGCTAAGTCGCCCGGGCTTGACTCCAACTTGCAATCCCTCCTGCCTCAGCCTCCAGAGTAGCTGGGATTACAGGAGTGTGCCCCCACACCAGCAACGACTGATCATTCTTGAAAGTCACTGAAATATTAAGGAAGTCAAGGACGATAGAAATTACAAGTAGGGGAGCTTACACGTGGAGCTTCTGCAAAGGTCTCAGATGCAGAATAACGTATGGCCACAAGGTGGCACTGCTACCTTGACCTGCTCTTAGAGAAAATTTAGCAAAGTAGATTTTAAAATAGCAAACGTCCATGCACCTATCATCCAGGATGAACTCATGTTAAAATTAACATCACATTTTCTTTATAAAAATAAAAGACATCATACATGATAGAAACATCTAAAACAAACGACATAGTCTATCCCATTATATACTATTGTTTTTACAAAGCTAAAATTTATTGGGCACAGCTTTTTCCTTTTTAAAATTTAATTTTTTGGGGGGGACACATATTTTTACCAAGAGGTTAAAATAACAGTCACATCGGCAGTACCCTAATTTCACAGCCGCAGAGAACTAAGGAGACGTGTTGCCAGTGTCAGAGCAAGGAACACAAGGAAGGGAGCCGGCCAAGATCCACTCTACAAAGCCTATTTGGGGCTGCAGTTAGAAATCCCTGGGCTAACGGTTACCGCAGGGCTGGACACATTCCCATTGTACAGATGGGAACACTGAGGCCAACAGCTCACACTGACATAGCACCAACTGACACTTACACGAGGTTCATTTCACCTCCACAGTGCCCCTGTAAGCAGACACTGTATTCTGTTAACTCTTGCAGAGGTGTAAAAGGGGAACCAAGGAGATAGAGCTGCTGGTTGTAGGACTCCAGAGTTACTAAGCAGTGGCTTGTTCCTTACCTTCAACCCAGGATTTCTGCATTGCACCCTGCTCCTTGGGGTGCATTCTGACCTGGGGGAGGAGAACAGGCCTCTGTCTATTGCCTAGATCCCTGCTGGCAATACTGGGGCATAGAGGCCTGGTGCGGTGATGATCCCAGAATTTGAGAGGCTGAGGCAGGAGGATCGCTGTGATTTTGAGGCCAGCCTGGGCTACATAGCGAGACTCTGTCTCAAACAAAACAAAAATACTGGGACTTCGGGCCCATACAGGGGTTGGGAGAGGAGCGGGTCTGAGGTTCCTGTCAAGAGGTACCTGGACTCTCTGCCCTTTGCCTCAGGCACCCCCCATAACTTGCTGCTGATGACCTTGGGATGGGTCCCTGACCTCTGTGATCGCCAGTTTAACACCTACCTCTCAGCATTATCGTTTCTGCAGAAATAGGGGTAGGAATAATACAACGACCTCCCCAGAACAGAACCGGACCCTTACATGTGGGTGACATTTTTATGTTTCTGAAAAATGATTTCCCCTTTATACGTTGTACATGTTGTCCCTGTAGCAATTATCTCTGTACCATCACTTTATATATTTATTATGCTTATTGTTTATCTGTCTCCTTCCACTAGAGCGTAAGTTCCCCGGAGGCGGGAGCTTTGTTTTGGTCGCTGTAGAGCCCTGGCTGGTCAGAACCGGTGCTCTGCTGCTAGCTCGGTGCTCAAGAATTATTTAGGAGCGAGCCCGGGGCATCGCCATATTAATCTACACGGGAGGGTCGGGTGGGAGGCGCGGCGCGCGGGTGGGGTGTGTGCCACAGCCAGGAGGCGCCGCACTCTACCCCCGGCCTGCAGTGACGCTACCCTACCTGGGCTGGGGATCCCCAAACGTTCCCCCTCGCGCCGGGAGCACCAGCAAGTCAGGGACTCTCTCCCTAGCACCTGGCGCTGCCGGCTTCGGGGAAGAATGCCAGGAACCGCTAACCCATTTCGTAGGTGACGCAACTGAGATCCAGCGGGCTGAGCCTAACGCCCCCACCGGGGAGCAGTTCCTGGGACAGGCAGAGGCCACCACCCGCTTCCTTGGGTGCCGCCTGCGCCATCACCACGTGTGGTGGGGACGCGGGGCTGATCCTCCCCGGAGGCACCCGGCGCTGCACCGTCCCG